GACAAGGGTGCATAGCCGGAGTAGCATGCGCGACCACCTCGATGTCGGAGTAGCATGCGTGCATAGAGAAGTGAACTCCCAAGGCCTATAAAAGGGAGAGGAGACACAGCCGAAGAGGTAGGCATCCACTGCGGAGACAACCGGGGGAAACACCCAAAGTACTCCAAGCTCTAGCCATTCCAAACCCAGAAACGACAACCATTCTGGCTGCCGTACTCTTGCTGCGTGCTCACCCAAAAATACTTCAAGCTTTAGCCATTCCAAGAAACAATAACCATTTTGCTGCCGTATTCTAGCAAACCTCCATTTTGCTGCCGTACTCTAGCAAACCATGTTTGCTGCCGTAACCTTCATTTTGCTACCGTAACCTTTCTTTTGCTGCCGTGCTCTAGCGACAGTAAACAACCCAGCAAACCATGCACTGTCGTGCTCTAGATAAACACACAAAACCCAGGCCTTAACCTCCCCATTCTCATTTTCTTCCATAATATTGCCTTAAGCCTTGAACACCATCCGATCATTCCACAATATACTGCAATAATCATTCATTTCTCAAGCAAGTTACTCTTTCCTGCTAAACTTATGGATCCTTAGCTCCCACACCAAGGCCTCTCATGCCAAGCTCATTACCTTAACTCATCAGAGGAAACCCCCATGCCAAGCCTATCTCTGTACAACCGAAACACATCATTAGCAACTCTCTCCAGAGATGCCACAAGCAATGCGACCCCATTTTACTACACCATCCAGCATCAGTGTACACCATCTAAAGCTGTCGTCCATCTATTCCACGTATTAGCATCAGAAGCCAGTCAAAATATGGAGCTGCTGTAAGAATAACAGAGTACCCCCTAGGGCTTGCCTTCCCTTCGGGATGCTTTGGGCCTAGTTCTCGCTAACTCAGAAACGGGGACTTGAAGGCTTCACTCAAGACTAGCGACCATCCGGCCCAGCAAAGCCTTCCAGCAGAAAAGGACCCCTACACTCTTTTACAATAATTAATTAGGATTTGGTTTGCGACGAGTTATTTAATAATCCCTGCGGAGAACGACCTTGCGAGAATCATTTATACTGCAACAACCTTGTCATTCTTGCAAGTTTTATAGGAGTTTTAACCCTATTTGCGCAGGTACTAAAAAGCCTATCATCCCTCAATCTAGAAAAACAGGAAAATAAAACGTACTAGACTGGATGCATATCTCATAAACGAAGTGGAAAAAGAATAATTCACGACGTTATTTGAAATCCATAGGTAAATTTGTCGACGTAAGAGATATTTGGACGCCGTTCTTTTACAAAAACAACGTTATATGGGAATATCCGCATCTTTTTTTTATTCTTATGTCGTTAGAAGTATTTTACACGGCGATTGGCTGACAAACTTTGCCGTCTCAAATAGATTAGACGACTGTCATTTTGGTAAAGACGATGTATAAATATGATGACGACGTTGTCCATCAAACACAACATCGTCTGTAGAAATAAATGTGTCGTAAGTAATGACCCTAACATATTTTCCACATCGTTTATTTTCAGATCATGTCGTTAAAATAATTTTATACGGCGATCGACTAACAATTTGTGCTGTGTAAAATATATTAGACGACGATCATGTTTTTAAAGATGACGTATAAATTCTGAAACACGGTTGTCTTTTATTTGTGGACGACGTTGTTCATTAAATACAACGTCGTCTATAGAAATACATGTGTCGTAAGTAATGACCCTAATCGGTATTTCCACGTCAATATTAATGGAAAAAACGAAGTGGATAATTTATTTCACGATGGTTATATAAATAGTGGTGACGTAGGATGAATTAATAACGTCGTCTTCTATTTATTTAAAGACGTCATAATTGTATTTCACGTTTCTTGTTTGATCATGTGTCGTGAAAGGTATATGTAACGGCCATGCGTCTCTTGCGGCCATGTTCTGTTAAAATATGTCATGTGTTGCGTTGTAAACAACATTTGTTTGTTAAAATTGGTCGTCTATTCTTATCCTTGACAATTTTTTTGGCTCATTTTTCAATACACAGACGTCGGTTGTTATTTGTTAATGACGTTGTTTGTTTTAACAACGACGGGGATTTACCGTCGTGGTTTTCTTTTGGAAAAGATGTTGGTCGATTTCACGACGGTTTGAAAACCAGATACACGATGGTGAATTCCCGTCGTCTTTTGCCTTTTTTGTAGTAGTGCCAAGTCATTAAAGTCAATTAGTGGCAGCACTGACTCTTTACACAGGGAGTTCATTCTTTCTTTTGAAATATGGCCAAGCCTTTTTATGCCAAAGTTTTGATGATGTTTGATTCTTTTGTTTTGTATTTGCAATGTTCATAACCATTTGAGGTGGTCTGCAGTTCAATTGAAACATGTTTCCAACAAGAGTTCCATTTCCAACTAGTTCTTTATTATTGGAAATCGAAAAACCAAATTCATCAAATCTCAAAGTTAGTTTTGATTTAACAAGCCTAGCAACTGAGATAAGGTTCCTTGTCATAGAAGGAACATAGACTATATCTACCAAATCTAAAACAAAACCAGAATCTAATTGATCCTAGCTGCTCCAATGAACTCCACTTGAACTTTGACTCCATTGCCCACGAATACCTTCACCTCATCTTTGTTTGGGGCCTCTTGGTTATGAACCCCTTTGTTCTTTTGTTTCTCTAACCATCTCTTGTACCTCTTGCATTCCCTTTTCATGTGTCCAAATTTTCTACAAAAAAAACATTTCAATCGAGTTGGTTTTCCTTCTTTTGTTTTGGTACTGTCTTGGTCTTTCTTTTCTCCAAAAATTGTCTTTTTATCTTTTTATCTTTGTTTTGCTTGCCACGATAGTCTTAAACCATGTTCACAACTTTTTGACCTCTCTCCATTATGATGTTGTGCTCTTCTTGAACACTAATGGTTATAAGATCATCCAATGTCCAACTTTCCTTCTGAGCCACATATGAACTCTTGAGAGTTTTGAACTCCTTTGGCAGTGAGTTCAAGGCAAAATGCACCATCATGTCCTCATCTATAGTCATGTTCAGTTCCTTCAGTTTGTGTGCAATGTCTACCATGTTCATTATGTGAGCTCTCACACAACCTCGCCCATCATACTTCATCTAAGTTAATTTGTTCAGCAAGGTACTTTTCTCTCCTTTTTCAAATTCTTTGAATTTTAGACCAATGGCAGCAATGAATTCTTTTGCACTTTCTGATCTTGGAATGCTACCTCTCATGGAAGGTGTCATGGTTCTCAGCATAATCAGTATAGCCATCGTGTTAGCCTTTTCCCATTTTTCATATCTCCTTTTGACATCTGTAGTAGCATTGGCAGCAAGTTCCTCAAGTGTGTCCCATTTTAGAGCTATGTCATAGTCCATTAGCCCTAATGAAATTTCCAACTCTTCTTTCCACTTCAGATAGTTTGATCCAGTCAAGATTTCGATGGAGTTGTAACTTGAAGCACTCACTGTAAGTTTAAAGAAAACATAAATAAACATCCCCAAAATCTTTAACTAAACATTATTGATTTGCACATGTGGGTTACAAGTCGAACATGTTCCATAGTACTCAGAACAACAGATCTGTATGAGCAATCTTGAAACAAGGAACATTTCCACGTCCGTGGACAGAGGAATGTTCATTGTTTGTTCATACAATCTGTTTTCCATACTGTTCCATTATAAACAGCCCTTCTTGCACAATTCACATCTGTGGACAGAGAATTGTACAAGAAAGGTTGAGTGTAATGCAATTTTGATCAAAAACTTCGAATGAAGAATCTCTTGTATACCAATTGAGTCGTTGTGGCTCACTCAATTGATCCAAAATCCTCCCCAAACATTGATCAGTAGTCTTTCAAGCATGATTTAAGTAGGAAGCTTTATGCTTATCTCATACCTTATCAAATAAGATATGCAACGTATAATAATTGAAATATGCATGCTATAGTGACTGGTGTTTTCTTTAAATTATATCATGATTGCAACATATGTATTAAAACCATATTTTTAGCCTTTTTAGGCGAGCCTTGATTTGTTTTACTTATGATTAGGTTAAGAACATACAACCTAATGCTCTGATACCACATGTAAGTCTTAATAGGTTTATATGAACTAAACACATACCTTGATCAGACATGATGTTCACAGGAAATTTTCTTGTTATTCTACTGTAAAGAAGTCTTCTCTGCTATCCGGCTCTTTATCTCTCTCTAGATGGGGTGAGAATAATATTGAGTGTGTATTTAGCCGATAGCATAGGGACATCCTTTTATAGGCTTTACTTAAGACTCCTCCTCATCAAAGACGTCTTAAGCTTTCCTTAAGCCAGTAGAATTAGATGTTTCAATCCACATAAAATTAGGAAACCTGAAGCACTTTGTATTTAATTAAAACAGTCACTTATACAAAGTCTAAAAGACAGATAAAATACATACTCCTAATTGGCATAGAAATAGATATCCTTAAGTGATTAGAAGACCATCTCAGTATTTGATTTAGAATGCAAATTCTTACACATAGAACCTGAAGTTCTATATCCATGAGATGAATTATCAAAAACTCAAATTTTATGATTTCATGGAAAATAGCTTACTTTGAGGCACATTGAATTGGTTGGAAATCCGATTCTTAAACTTGTAGGAGGGTGTATTCAATTTAGATTTTAAATAATTTTAAAAGAGTTATAAATTTGATGGAGTTTAATTGAATTTAATTGAGTTTGACTGAATTCTACAAACTCCACAGATTTTGACTGAATTCGTGTATAGACTTTAATTGAGTTTGTTAGAGTTTTATTATTGATTTTAATGGAGTTTATAGCACTCAAAAAACAAAGGGTTTAGGGGTGATGATGGTGGTGGTGATGGTGATGGTGGTTTGTGGGTGATGGTGGGAGAGGTAGTGGTGGAGGAGGTGGGGGTGGTAATGGTGGTGGCAGTGGGAGTGAGGTGGTGGCATTGTAATAGGGAAGGACCGTATTTCATTGTAATTCCAATTGAATAGGTTCTCTGCTTATTCTACTTAGCTTGGATATTCATGACATATTGCTAGGTGTCACTCATGAATGGTGGAAGCCTTAAGGACTAATGATCCTAACTAATAGGGAGAATTAAAAAAGGGTTTTAATTCACAATCAATTACGAAGAGTTCAAATTGCCCACGATCTTGCTAATTAGAACCTAATGGATCACACACCGTTAAACTTGAGTTAGTTGAGAAACCGTAATGGAGTTAATGAATTGAAGAGATCAATTAAGCTTAGTTAATTGGTTAAGGAAAAATTAATTATGGAATTAATTTAAACAACACGTGATGTCGGAATAGGCTTTAAACGAGAATTTTGAATTCTAGGCTCATTGGGCTTTATCTTATTGGACATGGAGATTAGGTTGTGTGACAACTTAAATGAAATTGAGCCCAAGAGGCCCAATTTCAAGGGATGGGCCTTCATATGGGCTTTTGGTTGCTACAGTCAACTTGTTGACTCAAGTAAAAGATGACTGTCATCTTTTTGAAGCCTAAGAGGTCATTAGTGAAAAACAAGAGAGAAAGAAAGCTCTAGTCTTCCAAAAACTCTCTCTACACATTCATACTACCTTAGTGAGGGATTACTAGCATCATCCTCTCACTAAGCTCATCATCTTCTTCTCAAGCTCTAATTGGTGAAGAAACTTAGAGGTTACCTATTTTGGTGACTTTTGGAGAACCTCTCAAGTTGGAGTTTTTTGGAGTCATTCAAGCTTCAACAACAAGGTGAAGATTTTGAAGGAGCCATTCAAGCCTCAACAACTTTGGTGGAATTCGATCATAGGGTTGAAAGCACGCACCAAGGGTAACTCCTCCTTCCAATCTTTTTAGAAGTATGTTCTAGGAAAATAGTACAACTATCACTTGGCTTAAAAGATTCATGGGAAAAGTTTTTTGTTTTTGAACTCATAGATGCATGCTTAAGCTTCTGTTGCCATGATTTTATTTATCTATGTTGATGTTCAAATGAAACTCATGATTTTCTAAAGGTTTCCTTCAAATGGATGACCAGCAGTGGTGGCTGGCGATAGTGTAAGGTGGCCCCTTCTTTAAAAAAAAACAGAAGAAGAAGAAGAGTAAAACCATAAACTTACTCCATATTAAACATGCCTACAACACATGATAGTAGACTTGTAAATAGGTCAAAGGTGGATCAAATATAAAGTGATCCAATTTGATTTAAAAAACAAAAAATTCAATGTAATTTGATTCAATAATCCGACGGATCATTTACGACTATATCCATATTCGGTTTGTTAAATTATCAAAAATTAGATCCAATAACATGACTCGATTTCTTTTATGTCATATATAAATGAATAAATAAGTTGAAAACTATCCTTATTTATTGACAAAAAAAGTTCACAATATTTTTACATGTGCATATATATTTAGTAAATAAAAATATAATAAAATATAGGGGTTTTACCATATAAGGACAAATAGGAGGGCACAAACACAAAATGGTCCAACTCCTCCAAATAAGTACAAGTCGATCCAATAATGATTGGTATTTTGATTTTCATATGGGTGCATTTTTTTTGTTAAAATGATTGGTCTTTAATGGAGTATTTTATTCACTTTTGTGCTCTTGACATCAAAAGAAGAAATGGGAGGAAAAATATAAAATAAAATGAAGCAACGAAATATGGACTATCTACCCAATAGTGACATCCAATAGGTTATTGTTCAAGAATGAAATCCATGAATGTTACGATTAAAATGGACCGAAATAACTCTTCTTCTTTTTTCTTTCGTTCCAATCGGAAAATGAAAACTTAATTATTTATACTAATTAGACAATTTTAAGGCTTGAAGTGGACTTTTTAATTATTTTCTCTAAAAATATATATTATATCAAATTGGACTGGATTTTTCGATCAAATTAGGACAAATTAAGATTTGTTTCGTTAAGTTAAAAGGTTAAGAACACAAGTATTATTGTATTATGTCACCAAATGCATCATTTTTAACTAGCCTCTCTGCATGCGCTTCCACGCTTGCGAGAGGCTTTTTAAAAGAAAAAATTAAATTTATTTTAGAATTAAAACAGATAATGGGCAGTTGTGTTCCATAAAAAAAGGATCATTCACTTTTGTGCTCTTGACATCAAAAGAAGAAATGGGAGGAAAAATATAAAATAAAATGAAGCAACGAAATATGGACTATCTACCCAATAGTGACATCCAATAGGTTATTGTTCAAGAATGAAATCCATGAATGTTACGATTAAAATGGACCGAAATAACTCTTTTTTTTTTTCTTTCGTTCCAATCGGAAAATGAAAACTTAATTATTTATGCTAATTAGACAATTTTAAGGCTTGAAGTGGACTTTTTAATTATTTTCTCTAAAAATATATATTATATCAAATTGGACTGGATTTTTCGATCAAATTAGGACAAATTAAGATTTGTTTCGTTAAGTTAAAAGGTTAAGAACACAAGTATTATCGTATTATGTCACCAAATGCATCATTTTTAATTACATCGGATTTTGATCCGAATTCGATGAAAATGGTTCATTTATGATATGCTAATTACAAAAGATTTTCTTGATTTAAACCTAAAGTTTCTAAATATTTAGATGATAATTTTCATTAAAAAAAAATTAGGTGATAACGAAAGAAAGGCGGAGTCCGGAAAAAAAGAAAAAAAGAAAGGCAGAGTGTTTATGTTTTGAATTAATTCGAAGACATTTTGGATGATTGATGAATGGGTTTCGAGGTACATTTGAAGCCTATCTTCGGCCACCCCAAGGTCGAGTGGGCGGCGGGTAACGCTTCTACTCCGCCGCGTCGGTTCTTGTTCCACGTCCATGCCTCCCCTGATTCTCTGCACCTCAGAATCCATGTCACTGATTTCCACTGCGACACCTGGGAGGCCGTACGGTCGGTTTCCCAGCTTGACGACATGGTTTACCTCTGACCCTTTTCTTCCTCATATTTCGATTTTCGAGGCACCCAAATATTTATTTATTCATTTTGTTTAAATCTTCGCATGTAACATAGTTAAATGGTTAAGAAATAATGCTTAGTTAGGAACAGGCTGAATTATTATCCAGTTGGGGAAATATAGTTAAATGATCTGTTTTGTGGTTAAAGTTCAGCTTTTTACTGGAATTTCTGATGGGTTGTAATGGTTGGAAGTAACTATAATGATTGAAACCTCCATCAACCTTTTATTTATTTCTTTTTTGGTAGGTTTTTTGGATTAACTTGCTCTAACAACAGGCTGAATTATTATCCAGTTGGGGAAATATAGTTAAATGATCTGTTTTGTGGTTAAAGTTCAGCTTTTTACTGGAATTGCTGATGGGTTGTAATGGTTGGAAGTAACTATAATGATTGAAACCTCCATCAACCTTTTATTTATTTCTTTTTTGGTGGGTTTTTTGGATTAACTTGCTCTAACCTCATGTGCAGAGGGACAGCATTGGAATAGGAGGCTCCTGGTCAGACTTCTTAGACTATCTTATAGCTTCCGTAAAATCCGAAGATGTAAAGCTTGTTTTGGAGGGACATTCAAACTCCGACGGTAGGCATTAGCCTTTTTTCTTTTTTTTCCTGTTTTTTTCCTTTTAACAATGAGTGATGGGTGCAATACTGTAGGCATTAGCCTTCCTAAACCCTGTTTTTGTGATAGTGTATAACTTCTTGACGGTGGTTTGGTCATGGCAAGAATAAGTGCAGGAAAGTATTGATGTCAATCATTTAGATCACATGGAAAGTGTGAATTCTGTGCTAACCCTTTAACGGAAAGTGTTACACGAACGCATTCTTGTATCTACATCAGCATGTAGATGGAGAAACTTTGATAAGGGAAATATGCTCATTGCTTACATCATCTGTGCTATGTGTCTTACAGGTGCTGCATATGCAAAACTAGTGGCTCAAAAATCAAAAGGAATGCCCGTAATTTCCATTTCTCTTACAAAACTTGTGGGGACTGCTGGTACTGAGGCTATTGCAAATCTATCTCTTCATCTCTTCGAAGAATTCAAAAGCATCCATGAGTCTTATGTGGAAGGTTGTCTTCTCATTTCCATGCAGCAATTTGTGTTTGTTATCTATAAGCCTGTATTCTCATTTCCTTTCAGCAATATGTGTGTGGGCATGTTTTGTGTTTTTTCTGAATTCCCTTTTACAAAATTGGAGGTGAAAAGCAGGAAGGGGAAGGTTGGGGTTGATAAGTTGTTCATTGATGAAATGTCGACAAGTAAAGAAATCAAATGTCAATAAGTAAAGAATTTCAATTGAAGATGCAGAAATTAAGTTTTTCACTACTTTGTATGTATGCAACTAAAATATGTTTATACCTATGTGCCTGTCAGTGCATCTGCATGAGTTGCCTTAGTTCTATATTTGTTGCATCACATTTGTTTTTTAGCCACGATTCTGGATCTTAAAGCCCTTCTTTGTGCATTACTGCTTGATGTGTGTACTTGGCACACATCAGAATAGTCTTGTGCTGGAATTGACTGTTACTACTTTCTCATTGTGCCCCAGAAAAACAGCGCTCTGTTGAATTGTCAAAAGTGATATCAGCTGAAAAGGTATGTCTACCTGTTATGCACTGTAATACTTTATGGGTATTCATGCTGTGCCCCCTACACCCCCCAATAGCACAAAGACATGGCAACATGTCAATATTTTCTTCAGCCGTACTCAATTTTATGTCTACATGTTCGCATTTGAAAGAATATTTGAGATGTATTCTCACACATGTACAAACGTATCATATATCATCATTAATTCTTTGCAATACTCAATTTTCATCTACTTTTGGCATATCATTAGTGTGACTTTTGTGTTGTATGAAAGTGGTATTAGAAGTCTGATATGTGCAATTGGGTCACTGATTTCAAAATGCAGCAATACTAGTGTTTTGTTCAAGTCATAGACAACATAAGTCGATGCAAGGGAAACACATTGATGCCAAGACCACCATCCACTTTATAGTCATATATGTTCAATATTTAGTGAGACAATGAACAAACCCATACTCAGTTCCAATTCAGTTATTTGGTTTACTGAGAAAGTTGCACATTAAATGTGAACGGGGCCAATGGCCACAAAGAGACTGGTTTCAGACCAATTGGTGGTGATCTGAACCTAATGTGATACTATAATTAAATCCTTACTGAGGGGGAGATCACGGAGGTGGTATTACTACTGGATGTTCTGAGGGTTTTTCGCCTAATTAACACAAGAGTAGACAAAAGAATTTGGGAGCTGGAAGATCATGGTATGTTCTCGTGCAAATCCTTTAGAATTTTTATATCGGCTAACAACAACACAGAAGTTTTCCCCCCTTTTACCTCAGTCTGGAAGGCAATGACTCCCCCGAAAGTCAAATTCCTTATGTGGTTGATCTCGAACGGGAAAGTTAACACTTGTGACCGTATCCAAAGGAGGAACCCGTTGATGTGCCTATCTCCTCACTGGTGTGTGCTGTGCAAGTCTTGTGCAGAGACCATTGACCATTTATTTATTCACTGCCCATACTCACTAAGTCTCTGGTGGAAACTGTTAAGTGAAGTTGGAGCAATCTGGGTAATCCCTAAAGGCTGTTTTCAGCTTCTTAGCATTAAAATGACGGTGTTGGGAAAGGGGAAGAGAGCCCGAATTTTATGGGACTGTCTTGTTCATGCTTTGTTCTGGAATTTATGGGGGGAACGCAACGGCAGAATTTTCCAAGAGTATGTAGGAGTGTCTTATGAAGAACTTTGGATTAGAGTAAAATTTTGGGCTTCTCTTTGGGCTTCTGTTACCGATCAGTTCAAGGATTACCACTATCCTATTATATTGAGAGATATGAGAGCTGTGTTAAGATAAGCCTACTAAGTCGTTTTTTCCTTGCCTTTCTTAGAGAGGTGTAGATTCAGAGTCTTATTTTGGTTCTTGGTTCCTGTTTTTCAAGCAGAGTTTTCTATTGTTGCTTAGTCGAGGACTACTTGTCCTCTTGATTATCAATACAATCGTTTCTATTCAAAATAAAAAATAAAAAATTAAATCCTTACTATCAGCAATTTGATATCAGAATAGTTTATGTGACTCGATTCACTAATACAATTCATATAATAATAATAATTGAACTATGAAATTATCTGGTTTGACATTATCTCTAAAGGTCTGTTCCTCTTCTTCAAGTCATAGTTTAGATTATGAAGACTGAATGCTGCTGTAGAAAACAGGCCAATAATAATAAATAGTTCATTTTACAAGTGGGAGTTTGTGGACCTGTGGTTACTTTATGCTGAGCATTAATTTTAAATAGTAGCGCAGGATTTTGTTCACTAGTAATGTGTTTTTTTTTTTTTGAATAGAAACGATTGTATTGATAATCAAGAGGACAAGTAGTCCTCGACTAAGCAACAATAGAAAACTCTGCTTGAAAAACAGGAACCAAGAACCAAAATAAGACTCTGAATCTACACCTCTCTAAGAAAGGCAAGGAAAAAACGACTTAGTAGGCTTATCTTAACACAGCTCTCATATCTCTCAATATAATAGGATAGTGGTAATCCTTGAACTGATCGGTAACAGATGCCCAAAGAGAAGCCCAAAATTTTACTCTAATCCAAAGTTCTTCATAAGACACTCCTACATACTCCTGGAAAATTCTGCCGTTGATTATTTGAAATTTGTAGCAGGCATATTATAGATCTGTTAGCATATTTGTCCATTAATTTATCTTTAAATTATCATCAGGCCATTCCTTACTAAACTTTGTTCTTTTTTTATGTCAGGAAAGAAATGCTAGTATCCAGAGCCAACTGGAGCAGTATTCCAAGAGGCAAAAGTTACAAAGGATTAGTTCCTCAGATAAAGTAGATGTTTCTGGACTATTCAGTAATGGTTTGAAAAGCTCTCCAGGTAATTCTCTGCCTGAAGTGTGTACCATTTTGGTGAAGTGATAAGTTCTGTATTTTCAAACAGAAGATTGCCATGTGTGTATGTGCACTTTGTTATTAGTAAGAAAATTTAAAAGTAAAACTAAATTGTGGATCATGTTTCTGCAACTTGATAAGTATGTTGGGTTAACTTTTAAATATCTTCTTTCATGGAAAATCTCTTTTGTTGAGTGCATCTCCATTTTGCCAGCTATATACATGTCCTCTTTTGGGTGTTTGTTGAACTTCTAATTGTCAGAAAATAATTTATCCACATGTCTTTGCTGCTAATATTCATTCATTCTCCCCAGCAGCAATTGACTTGATAGCACATGTAAGGCAGAGGACCTTTTTTTAAAGGTCTTTTTGCGTGTTGTTGCATGGCTGATCACTCTCCAAGGGGCGATCAGTTTAGAATTGTTTATGTGTTCAATCAAAGAGCGACTCCACTCTCAAAGGGAAATTCAAAAGCTCAGCTGCATTTGTGTATGTCATTCATAGTGCATGGTAATTTTGGGATTTAGTCTATTTCTTAACCTTGTGAGCGAAATACTGTTCAGGCATCAATAGAGCTCCTCCAAATGTCAACTTTTCATCTTGCAGCATATCTTTCTATTGAGCTATTGATATTTTATTTGATTGTCTTTTCATTGTTTCCTCAGCATTTTCAGATTCCCTGCTTACAGATAGACTTTCTTGTTACCTGTCAATAATTGGAATTCTTCACACATCAATTGTATTATTATCAAGTATCAACTGAATATTTATTTGCCAATACTGCAGATAAAGAAGCAGCTCGAGATATAAACTCAACAGCAGTTGCCAATCGGGTTGTGCCTGCATATCGTAGGTAAGTTGGCCTCTTGAACACTGTTTACTACATCCATCCATTATCTGGGTATTTCCACTGTTAAATGCCATATTCCATATGTTCTCTTTACATAAATAACTGTCTATATTCTTTGGCAGGGCAAAAGTAAGAGGTGCCCTTCTGCAGGATACAGAAGAGGAACACAAGTAAAAGCTGGGGTGTCTGACAATTTGGTGTGCACCCTGTTGTGTGAATTAATTATAATCTTTTTTCCCCTGTTTCTGGTACAAAAGTTAGATTTAGGTTTCTGTTTTTCATCCTTTAGACCAGGCTGTAGGACAATCGGGGGAAAAAAACCAGTTTTATGCCTCTTTTTATTGCCAGGAAAATGTTTGAAACTCTCGTTTTCGGCAAGTGCTTGCAATTTTGTACTTGTGCTAATCTGGAAGACCTCTTACTTTGTAGTAGGAAGCTTTTAAGATAATTAGAGATTGGCTATTGATTGAATTTATGAGCATTTAAATGGCCAGCCTCTTTCCATCGCAATGCTCCAATTGCAACCGAGGGACTATATATACCAGGAGATCATTAGAAGCTTATTGCATTGGATTCTGGTTTGTATTTTCTGACACGGTTCATAGAATCTCGCTCATCCTCCGAACCCAAGCTACTTCCAAAGGTAGTTTAGTAGAGAGATTATAGGCCTCCCAATGCCGTTGTGTTTGGATGGAGAAATAAATTTGAAATTTGAACATAAATTAGAATTTCTGAATTGGCATATCCAATTCTCTTTATTTGTGTTTATAAAGAAAGAGATTTAGAAATTCAATGTGGAAAAAAACACATAGAAGTCGGGAGTCGAAACTCGATTTTAAATTTCATCTCATTAAGGTGTCATTTCTAAAATTCAAGACACGCCCTATGTAATGCCTCTCTACCACCACCACCATCGCCACCTTAACTAGCCATCACCACCACCATCACTCGTTTATTGGCCGATCATCGCTCATTCATATAGATCGATGTTTTTATAGTTAGTTTAAATTATGTACGTAAATCCCACTAGAACAAGGAACATTACAAATTCCCATCATTTTAAATACTGTCAATTTTTGATAGTTGAATTGTTTCTAGTAAAGGTTGTGTTTGGCGTCATTCAGTTTTGTTGGGATTTTGAATCACGTATCATTTTATTAGCCAACTTGCAGTTCCTTTTAAAAATTTGTGTCTAAATTGAGCAAGCCTCATTTTCTATAGGGCATACATACATATGATCGATATACATAGACAGGTAAACAAATTGGCAATATTCTCCTTTTACAATAGGGAGATTCACTATTATACCTAATATAGGAGCTCAAATTATTTATAAATAAATAAAACCCTATATGAAATAGACTTTAAAAACACACCCAAAGCCCATTTACAACATAACAAAAAGGCTTTTAACTTTTTTAAAATTACAAAACTGCCATTGATTTCTTCAAAACAAACTCAATCCCAAAACCTCATAAATAAAAAACCCAAAACACTCAATAGGGCATCAAAGTAATTTAATAATCAAAATTAAATTCAATAGGGTCAACTATCATTTTTTGGGTTTGTTTATAGAAATTAAATGGTGTAAGGAGGGTTTCACCCAAAAAAAATGGTGTAGGGTTTATTTATAGTTTTATTGCTAAGAATGGGTATATGACTAAATATCTCTTTACAATAAGCATCCCCTTTGTCTCTTGGTTTTGCTTTTCTTGCTGTGGAAGAAGAACCAGCACCCAGGTAAGGTATTGGTCTCATCAGAAAACCTGCATATTCAACAAAACAAAATCAATTTGTGTTTCTTATCAACAACAACAACCACCAAAAAAAAAAAAAAAAAAGTTCCAATTACATACCTAGTTCGGCTGCTGCTGCTGCTGCTGCTGTTGTTTCCCTGACTGTTTTTATTTACTCCTGCAAGGAAAAATGCCCTTATCTTACACCAATCTTTATGGTTGTTCTTTAATGATAATGAAGGGCTTGGCGAAACTTTTGAGGAGCAATTCCCAGGTGGTTTTAGTTTCTTCTTTGAACCTAGAAAAGTTGGAAAGAACATCTTAATTAGGAAAGTTTCACTTTCCATGCTTGAAGTCCTTGATATTTCATAGCTGCTTTTCTTCTTCACGTTACTCTTTTGCTTCCTGATTTGGACTTCTTCTTCACTGCGAAAGCTGAAACTTGTCTCTTTGGCATCAGTTTCTTCTTCTCTAACCCCCTGAGCACCTTGTTGCTCATCATCAACAATATCTTTTAGAGAAAGTTCGTAACATGACTCGGGCATGTCTTGGATCATTTCCATCATCTCCCTCCTACTTTGAACAATTTCTGCTTGTCTTTGTGACAACGTCGTCATTGTACAAGGATTACTATAGTGGTGGTTGTTGGGGAGCAAAGGAGTAGACTCATCTTTGATCCATCTCAACAACATGTTCGTTTCCCAGAAATCAAAGTCTTCTTCTTCTGCACTACCGCGACGACTCCTGCGGACATGGCAGCTTGGAGAGAGTTGATTCCTAGGAAGGCTTTGACACTGAAGAAGATCAAGCATGGTAGTATATGAAATGAAGAAAGAGAATATGTAGGTGCTGAAATGTTAAGCAAATTTTTTTTTTTTTTTTTGTGTGTGGGAGCTACAAGTATTATGGCTATGCTAGCTGCTGCTGCTGCAAATTATAATATCATATCATATCATATCATATCATATCACTGCGATGATTTGGTCAATGTCATTTGCTCCACAGAGTTCAATTTAATTATAGGGGGGGAGAACTTAGAAGTCTTTGCCGTCTAAGATGGGAAGGTCAATTAAACAGTCCAATTTTTCCAATTTCCAACTTGTCTAACTCAAAGATTTTCTTCTATAGAAAAAATTTGATCGACTTTTTCTCTTAGCTTCTTTGTCCTGACTTTACTACAATAATTTCTCTCTCCACCAAGAAAATAGTCTTGTATATTAAAGCAAATATTACTTCTTTTATGCATCTTTAGTACGAATTCATGCTTAATGAGAACACAAAATTCAATGGTTATTGTGATTACTAATAGAAAAAGGTGAACCTGTCGATCTAAGAGCAACTCCACCCATTTGCCCCTTACCATGGCAAGGGGGGGCTAGGGCAGCCACTATTCATGTGAATAGTGGTTGCCCTTGCAAATAGTAAATTTTGTGTTTCCACCCATTGTCATGGCTAAGGGCAATTACTATTCATTTTTTTGTTTTTTTCACAAATTTTTTTACCTCAATAATTAATTTGGATAATATTTTCGGATAAGATTTCCGGGTTCCTACGTGTCATGACTATTCATAATCGGATAAAATTTCGGGATAAGATTTTTGGGTTCAATTTTCGGATGAATTTCAAAATTCAAAATTCAGATAAAAACTTGGAGCCAAGCCTCACACAAGGAAACATCTTCCATGGTGCTCCACGCCCCTCCGGTTTCGATAGAAGAAGCCATAAAAATAAGAAGAAGAAAAAATACAAGGTTAAAGAGAGGAAAATGTTGAATAAAGAGTGAATAATAGTAGAAGTAGAATAAAATGTATAAGGATTGGTGTTGAAAGTGAAGGGTATTAATAGGTATTTATAGAAAAAAAAAATCAGAATTTTTTAGTATTGTTTTTAAAAAATTTCGATTTTTTTTCATAATTTTATTGCAAAAAAATGACCACCCGTTGGATTGGAGGAGAGAAGCAGATCAGAGCGCCCAGGTTACGACACCTGTCTTCTAGCCGTTGGTGCTCGCGCAGGGCTAACGTCAGCACGACGTCAGCGCAAGCGAATTCAAATTTTTTTAACGTTGGCGCGTGCAATGCACGCACCAACGTTAAAAAAATTTGATTGCGCTCGCTGACGTCGTCCTGACGTCAGCACGACGTCACCCCAAACCGAGTTTTGGACCTCGGGCTGAACTAGCCTTCGGGCCAGCCCGACTTGCTGGGACCCGCACCTTGCCCGGGCCTGGGCTCACCGCTGGAAACTCCTTTTTTTGGTTTTCTCCCCCCAGCCTTGGGCTAGGCTCATGGCTGGAACTGCTCTAACAACGGTAACAACCGCAATCACACCAAGTACGAATTTGTAACTTAGAAAAATCCGAACTCATAACGTAGAAAAATCCAAACTTAGGGTGTGGATTAAGTTCATTGAATTTTCACAAATAAAATGAATGGTCCGAGTCCTAAAAGCTTAGATGGTCATTCTAAACCATTTAAGCTGATTTAGGACTAGTTGCATGCCAGCATGGTGAGAGCGATCCAGATGCCAAAATAAATTTCCTTGTAAAAATTGAGTACCTGATGTTGAATGACGTTTAAGTAGACAGTGTCAAAGTTCCATGGTGGAGACTTTGGTTTGCAACTTGACTTATAATTGGGACATTCTGATGTTGAATGATACCCTGTGGCCACGGTTTCTAGACCTCAAACAAATCCTTAAGATGACAAAAGTACATATTTGGGCCTGATAATAATTGTGGCCGAATAGATTTTCTTGTGCGATTTGCTTGGAATGAGCTGCAGTGCGAATTCAATCAAAAAGCAAAGACATCATTTTTTTCCTCCAATCATCAACAAAACAATAATTAAACTCAACTCTCAAAGAAAACCTTGACAAATTCATGAAATAGGATGAAACATACTAAGACTTCACATGGTCCCTGATAAATTGCTCCACCTCAGATATTTCACCAGTTAAACCAGAAGCTTCTGCAACTTTAACTTTGTTCTGGCATTGGGAGAAAGAAAATGGTTCGCCATGCACTCCAAGTGTAAAGTCGTTTGCAATATCAGCTGTTGATATCACACTTCTTGATGCACGTAATTTGTCACTACAAGATATTTATATGACAAATACATGAGGATAATGAAATACATATATAAATCAGAAACTTATATCACAGAGCACTCTCGACAAATGAACAATTAAAGAAACAAGGGAAAAAAAACAAAACAAAACAGAATTGAATAAATTGAAAAATTTGTCTTGAATGCATCATGGATGAAAAATAGGAAATCACAGCAAAACCGTTAATTGTAAGCACTATATTTATGGAAATAACGAAAATAAAGGATATTTCTTATACAAATAAAATAAAGAACAAAGATACGGGATATAATTTTCAAGTGCATATAACGAACAATTAATATAATCCAATACACAACCACTGAAAGGCTTGGAGTAGAACATTATAATCAATCGGATAAAAGACACCCACAGTAAACAAAACTCAAATCTTACATTTCTTTCTCCAATTGTTTTCGAATAAATTCCTTGCTATGTGCTGTCACTCTGTCTGCCTTGTTGCAGAGAATAAGAACTGGAATTTTCTTCCTCACCACGCTCACCTTAGTCAAAATATCATACAGGTACCTGTTGCAAATAAAGTGCCATAGGTCAGCCATTATATAAGTGAAAATCTTATGTTGCATGCAAAGCATGCATCTATATCCTTAAACCCCATATTTAGGGTCCTCCATTTGTTACTAGCAATTTTACGCACTCTATTGCCTTGGACCAATAGGGCTGGCACCCTTTACCACCAAGTGGTAAAATGGACGTAAGCATATGGCAACCAGAATTGTCATTTTTAAATAAATATCATATATGTAGCTTTATACTGAAAAAAGAAATCTTACTCCGAAGCGGCACGGCAATTTGGTAAGAACTCCAAAGCATCAACCACAAATACTATACCAGCTGCTTGAGGCTGGACATCATCTAGTTTGGCTCTAAGCCGAGAATGCCCAGGAACATCAATAAGATGAACAGGATTTTCCTTTCCATTCTGTCAGGGACAACCAAAAGAAGGGTGAGCACGGTCAAATTCCAGAAGGACAATCAACAAAAACAATTAGTAGAAAGAAAGGGAAGAATATGTTTGTGGCTAATGTCTTCTGCACATTGAAGGCAAATAGATAAGTTAGATCTGCCCTCATTACAAGCAATATATATCAAAACCTGGTTTACTCGCATATGAGCACAAGAAGCTGAAATGTACCTTTGATTTTTCAGAATGGAGCACAAAAGTTCCCTCATTTGGTTCCATTGATGTCACAGTACCATGATGAGATGAGCCATCCCGCAGCTGGGACGTGCATAAAATCATGCCACAAAAGTTGGATCAACATTGCTATGGCATAAATAGATCATCAAAGAAACTGAAAATGGGGGAAAAAGGACAACTTAATACAAGGCATTTAGAATTTTTAACCAAATTTTATTTCCCAAGTACTAAACAGCATCTTATCACAAACAATGACAGAGTTTCAAATTTTATCAAAAGGAAAAGGATACAACATAAACAAAGGACAAACTCAATATTCAAAATAACATGATATTGTCTAACAAAGTTGAGTAATAAGATGAAACAGGAGATTCTTATGCAAAACCAGTGTTTTCAGAAGTGAAGGTATGACGGGGCGCTGATGTCTTGTCAGGCAAGAATTAAGCCTTGAGGCATTGAGACATAAGCCTTTCAGGCCTCGAATTAAATCATAACATAAGTACATATTGTCATTCAAGCACATGGTCAGTCGAAGGGTAATATTTCGGGTGGAACGGACTTCTGCCTCTTATTTGGATGGTTTATTCCCTTTTCCAAATACCCCAGCCAAAGGATGTTGTCTGGGCTGGGCACACTTCGTAAAAAAAAAAAAGGTTCTCTTCCACTTTTACCAAAAAAACATAGTGAGAAGTAAGCTAAAATAGAAAGGCGTAATTCTTTGCAGCATTTTGTAGCACGGATGGATGCCTGAGCCTCATGCACGCCTTTGAAAACACTGCAAAATTAATTAGTAGAAAGCTGGCATAATTTTGAAGTCCTTAATTGGCATAATGAAAATAACCAGACAGTCATATGGTCGAGATGTAATTTGTTTGCATTACATAACATGCACTAAGAAGCAGGACATTAGTCAAGTCCGCTACATATTGAGCCTAATAAAATGTTTAAGGAGAACAAAATCCAATAAAGTCAATGCTTACTTGATAGAAAAGAACAGTCTTTCCACTCCCGCTAAGCCCAGTCAGCAGTATGGTATTAGCTTTTGGGCGTTTAAACAACCTAACTACAACACAAAAGATATCAATAAATACCCATAAATATTATCATAGTAGAAATTTTTTGAGAAAGTGAAAGATAAAGAGCATACCCAACAAGAGTAAAAATGAGGTAAATAGCAAGATGGTGACAGCAGCATAAATCTGTTCAGATGGAACCTGATGAATGTATTTAAGGGCTTGAGATGACCATTGCCCTGCCAATTTCTTCAATCGTCCTGCTTGTGTCTTCCATTGTTCTAATCCTTCCATCTTCTTTTGGAATTTTAAGAAACTTTCAGTATGATTTGTGGTGAATCCTGGCCTCTTTTCACTCAAACTGAAACCCTTGGGGCAATGCCTCAAGAAGGAATGGAGCTCAAGTAGGGAGAAAGTACACTAAGGGGAGACGGAAATGAGGGTGTTAGGGACTTTGGATTAGAGAGTTGGCAATCATGGATGAAACAATATGATAGGGGCGTTTGACCAAGTAAACATGGAAAACATGTCAAGATCCAAAAAAAGAGTTCCAAATCCCATGACGTGCAATTCAAAAGACGTGACTCCAACTAAAGAATGTGTACACATGCTAACATACAAGACCAATTAAACTATCAATCTTATGAAAACCTCGACAATTGTTTGATAAAAAAAAATTCAGATTCACATTAAAATAATTTCATCCACTGCCTATTTTAGTATGTGAAAGATCTGTCATAGAGAAAATTTGGCAGAAAATGCTGAAAAATAATGAATCTCAAAATTCAGCATTCCTTAAATTAATTGACAAAGATAAATGACTTTATCAATGAATCAAAGCAGCCACACAAGTTACAGATATCTTACATTGATATAAAAAAAAATACAGACATTCCCATCTAATGCAAGGACTTAATGGAACAATAACAGAGTTATTATGAAAAAATCATCCCACAAATAAAAATCTCTTTATTAATTCTAAGAGCAACAACCACAAAAAGAACAAAATCGAACATGTCACAAATTTGTGAAATGTTCCCTTAGCCAAACTCTAACCAAATCTAGGTCTAACATATATACTAAACTAGTCATTAGGGCTCCATGGAGTTTCAAGAGCCACAACAAACTTGGTTTACAAGGATGCAAAGAGCAGAAGATTCATGGGGTTAACAAGTGGCAACTTAATTAGGATGCTTTTCATGGCATCATTCAACATATTAGATTCAGTAGTATATGCTTATAAGCAGTAAAAAACATGGGCTGAGGTATGCCCCCGCTCAAATGTTTTTTGAGAAATAATATGTAATGTGTTTGTCTTATTTTACCTTAATATCCTGAAACAATAAACTAATTTTTACCAGCCAACCCAGTTTTCGCTTGCTTTTTTAGTTTCTAACGCCAAACATGTAAAGCACACAGGACAACGTCTCCCTCTGATTTTACCTGATATTCAATCCAGGTGAATTTACTTTTTCTAATATATTTTGAAACTAAAATAGTTACTGATGTTTGAGGTAATTCATAAGTGACTGGGTGAAGATCTACTTATTTCATATTTGAACACTAAGAGGTGCCCCCACTGGTACAATTTTCGGGCTCCACTGCTGCTAATAAGCTAGCTGAAGTGGTGAGTGCTGGGATAATGATGCCATGAAAAGTATCCAAAATCAACAACCAACAAGCCCTGATAGCATCCTTGAACAGATATGCTAATCTCTCGCACAATTTATAATTCCAAAAAGAAATCTTTGTTGCATAATTTTACACTATGGATAGAGTAGCAGAGTTAGGCCTTTAAGATTAAATAAGGTGTTTGTCAGTGTAGGTGTACACTATCATGGATACACTTTGATGAGATAGAGTGTTTGGCAGCTGGACTGTGTCATTGATCATGCCTATAACTAGAGTTACTTTGGGTTAATAAAGCCTAAAATTAGAGTTACTTTCAGTTAACACACAAGTGGATTTGCCAAACAGATATTCTCTCCAGCATAATCATGCATCATAAATACCATGACAGTGCTTCTCTAAAATGATTTCAGTTTATTGTACATCTACTAAAGTGCACAGACCCTAGTGAACAATGGTTCAGTCTAAAGCATCACACGATTAATTAGCTATCTTTGCAAACTCTAGTACGCAAATTACATTAATTAATTTTATATGATACAGAAAGGGTGATTATCTTGATTATCCCAATTAACTATGACGACCACTTAATGGGCACAGGACAAGCTCCACATTTAGAAATCTGAACCTACAAATTAATTCGTCCTCAATCTAATCTGAAACTATAATCATATATACTAACCATGGAATTGTTTCAATGAGGTTGATACGATTACTAAGAAAATGTATTAAATATTTTTCACAATTCAAGAAATTGCAGAGAAAA